TATTTTAGAGTTTACATTTTTATATTTCATACGTAACATTTCTCTACCAAACTACCACAGAAGAGAAAAAACATTGAACATTTACCAACCTGTGGAAGGAGAGGATGTAGTCGAGGCAGTGGTTTCATGATCCCCCTGGGATGATCTAGCATTCTGTTCTGGAGTCTTCTTCGGTTTTCTCTTCCTTGTTTGTATACCATCCTTTCGCATGGCTAGCGGCCTATTGACTCCGTGTAATTTGAAGTATAATCCACAAGCGTTGCACACTGGCTCACCCTCATTGTTACGCCTCCACAAGGTGGTGGTGCGAGTGCCGCAGTTTGTGCAGCACAGCCCGAGTCGCCTCGTTGCGGTCTGAAATTCCGACATCTGTCCCATTTGTAACACATGTCAAGACGACTCAAATGTAAGTGCAATTATAGTGAATAAACAGGGCATTCTTAGAAGAATCAAACGGATCTCTCTTTTAAAAGACGTTCCATTAATAATAAGAGTATGACGTAACTTTATATATATGAAAGTACTTGAAAAATATCTCTGTAAACCAATAAGATTTTTTATGCTAAAAATTATTGTCAAAGATCAGAGATTCTTTTCGCGGGTGTATCATATGAAAGACATGGCTCTTCATAAAATGTACCTACACGTAGACAATCTTTTGTGGATGAACTTACCAGGCGTTTTGAGGGCTTGATGAGCGGTCTATTCATGCCGTTCATCTTGTGATAAAGTCCGCATGCATTGCAAAGATAATGGCCGGTGCCATCTCTCCGCCAGAGCGGCGTCGATATCGCGCCGCAATTTACGCATTCGCGACCCTCGCCGAATTGGAAATCCATTGCGGTATCTGTAATCAGTTTCATATTTGATTGATTAATTAACGTACAGTTAATTAATTCAATGTTTATTGTAAGTTATATAGCAACAGAGGGCAAAACTGTTCAGTTAACATTTGGAAAGCATACAGCAAGAAATTCCAACAATACACACTTGATTGAAAGCAATTTGAAAGCAGTAACAATAAGTCGCGAAAAATCAGATATTTTTATTTTATTTCGACGATGTCAACTGCAAACACTTTCGCCGAGTTTCTTTTTACGTACCATTGTTTCCTCTTTGATTTTTCAGTGCTAATTCTACTCGTTTTGCGTGAAAATCCGAAATTGCTTTTATCCGCGCCGAACTGATGAGAGATAAGCCCGTTCGTTACATTTTATCGAAACGTCCCGAGGACGCCCGTATATAGCGGGATTTACAGTTAGATGGGCAATGCATAGCAGAGAACGCGCGACGGGAACTGTTCCCGACTCTCCAGAGGAAGCATCCGCCCGCGCTGGCTCCTCTGAACCGATTCTCCGTCGCTACGCTGTAAAACACTTGACCGCGGGATCGACCCGGCTCACTTCAAAGGCACCGCTATCACTTATCCATCGCACATGGCCCGCCGCGTGCACGGCGGTAAATAGCATCCGCGAAGGAAAGTAGCTTCTTTCTCCTCGTCGTCTCAGCACAGCGTTTTTCTTTCGAGCGGTGCTGTCACGAAGTCAGCGTTGATCACCAAGTTAAATATTTCTTTTCACGCACGTTAATACGATATTTTATTGTCGGATATTGTTAAAAGATTCATACAGGCTATGACACGTCTGCCAATAATACATATGCCAGAAAATCTAGTATAAAATCTTATAGAGTTAAATGAGACAATTTTGTCAAGCGCTATTATTGCGCACGATTAACTTAAAGAAAGTTCCGATTGGAAAACTACTCTTGTCTCTCGGGGCCATCGAGATGAAAATAAAAGGTTTATCTCCAAAAGGAGGGTTTAAGTCACACTACAGAAACTGTACGCTTGACAATTCCATGAGTCCACTCCCTCACGAACTCTATTCGTGATATCGTCTGCGGTTTCGATAAACTAATCGGCACCATAGGAAATTGCATGCCTACATATCTTATCGTCGCGGCATACGGGTAGTTGCCATAACTTTTGTTTGTTTATCATTGCGACTTCACGCGTGATGCACGCCAACGAAAAGCGATACAAGCACCTCTATTTTCACGCGCCGTCGCGAGCAAATTTTAAGTGTAGCAGGGAAGGATAATGAAATTCAGCCACGTTAGTGATATTTTTACTCGTCAGAGCGAGTAAAGATAGCGCGCAACACTTGTAACATTACTTAATATAACCATACGGATATAACAAGTTATCAATATTTATCTAATTAGTATTGAATAATATTGTTTTAATATTGAAGAAAATAATTTGTTAACTTCAATGTTGATTCTATTTTTTAGGACGACCGGCGGTGTTCCAAAAAGCTTTTCTCATTCGACTTTAGAAACGTTCAGCATTAATATTATTTAATTCTGTCATATTTTATTTATTTCACGTGCTCAAGTTATAATTATCATCGTAACATCTACCGAATAGCTAACGTCAAAAAACATTTACTTTTGCTGCATCCCGTGGGAAATGACATTTGTTTACGGAGTAGTAGAGACCCACAGGTAGCAGACACGTGCGGAAGCACACATTTGTCGAAAAAAAAAAAAAATCGCATGCACATACGAACCATAAGGCGATGCGCGTTGAAAACCGGTGCCGTCGTAAGCGCGCCACGAGGACATCATTGCGACGTTCTGCGCGTAGAACGGCGCAGCCGCGGCCGCGGCGAGAGTCGAGTGAGGATGCGCCGCGTGCGGATGTCCCGCATGCGGATGACCAGGTCCAGCGTGCGGTCCCATCGCCGCCGCGGCCGCACCGCTCGTGTGCCCGGCGAGCGCGTGATGCGCCGCGTACGTCTCCACTCCGTGCTGCCAGGATGCCGTCTTTTCCCTTCAAAGGATATCAAGGATATTTGACGTTTAACCAACGTGAATTTCAAGCACGTGCCGTTGACGCACGTATGATTATCAGAGGCCATCGTACCATGCGGGCGAGGGTGAAGTAGGAAAGGAATGATATTGCGCCGCCGTAGCTGCAGATGGAATCGCTGGTCTAGACGACGGAACGTAGACAGGCGCCTGGAGCTGCTGCCCGTGTTGCTGCTGTTGCTGCTGGGACTGCTGCTGGTAATCGGAACTTGCGCCGTACCCGCCACTTCCGCCCCCGTGGAACATCCTCCTCGAGAGCTACCACCGTGGCATCTGTCGAAAATGAGAAGATGTCGAAAATTATTCACTCTCCACCGTCTCGAGAACATTTTCATTTGCATCCTTTCAAACGCACGAATACTCGTACTCTTGACAAATTGCATAAATTTTGTTAAACTTTTTAGTATCGTGCAATTTTTAATTAAGTCATAATTGATCGCGGTTCAATTCGCGTATTTCAATGATCCGTAAATTATAATTAATCTTTCTAATAAGACGGTTACGGTGAGAAAATCCCTTTAATTACAAAAAAAAAGTAATCCCTTTAGTGTAGTGATGCCGACTTATATAAAATATAAGTGCAAAAGCGGAAAATACGGCGGCAAGTACTTTGCTAAAGAATAGCCGCCGACAATCTCATTTTGCTACCATGGGAAGATATATCATTACGCTGATAATATGGCAATGATACATTCTGCAGCAGATAATGTTAATGATCCCTTTAGCCGATGAGAGCCGATAACCGGCCATGCATATTGAGATCCCGCCAAGCGTCATGTAAGACGACGAGCTAATGCGGCATTGGCCGCCCATGAGATCAAGGTTGATCGTGAATAAATGCCGAATCCTCTCATCTGGTCGCCGTCGGGCCTCTCTTCTGTCCTGTCTGCCTATGTAGAGGAACGATTTTGTGGTCGTGGATCAGGAAACTATAAGTTTCGAGCTTACTTGAGCGAGTAGTGTCTTTCAAACTTTATGACAGGCAATGAGAACATTGATCGAAAGGGTATTCAATTTTATTCAGTTTTATCGTGTGCGCTTCAAAATATTTTTTAGCTCTGTTTATGCATATTAATATAAATATGCGATTTTAACCGTAATATTTGTTGAATGTAATTCAATGTAGATATATGTATAGATATCTTATCACTACGAAACGATATAAGTTAATTTCATTTTTTCGAATTTCTCATATTATTGCGGCATGCGAGTAGTTCCCATAACTTCGATTTATCATTGTCTTTGTTTGCTATGTTGCATAATCGAGATGACAGAACATAATGACGAGTCTTTTACCTGTAATTATTGATAATTATGGGTTGAAAGCAATTTTCGCGCGCGTGTTGCGTAATTTTATTATGCAATGTAGATTTTGCAACGATATTTACTGATACCGTTGCTATTGCGGCACGTCAAAAATTTATTTCACGGTATTATTAAGAACGAAAATTGTTGGTACGTAGCCCGATACATTGATATCTCTTGCATTCATTTTGGTATGTGAATCCTGTGCCACCCACACGTTTCATTGTTAGGATACGCATCTCCTTAAGAATATGTGCAGCCTCACCATATCTATGCAACCCATTTGAGTGCGATACATAGAATATGATGCCTTTTGCATTGCAAAATTTAGAAAAAAACGGATATTATCAGCTACATGAATGTATGATGTGTCTATGGATATGGACTTGTTTTGACAAAAACGAACGCCTATCTATTATGTCGCTTCATTTCATTTTAGATATTTATTCTTCTCTCAATATTTTTATTAATTTATTATTTTCTTCAAATTAAAATTATATGTACGAATTGTTATAGTATCTTAAAGGAAATAAATAATATTAGTCAATAATATGCAAAGTATGAAAATTAAAAGTATATGTTGATACATATAATTTTTGCAACAGATTGAACAAATACTACGATAATTCGAATGAACAAAAGTATTGGCAAAATTTAAGCATTCCTAAGTGCGAGATAAGCCGGGCAATAGGGTAATAGGTATTGAATTCTCGCAAGTCTTGCCACCCACAGTCATTCCATTGTCTCGGATATGCGTTTTCCGAGCGATCGTAATACCGCCATGGTTGGCATACGTTCTACGAGTCGGCCCTCCACGACGGATTCAGGTATCAGCCTCCGAAAGGTGCAGTGGACAGATAAAATATAGCTCGTACGAAACGGGAGATACACTTGAAATACATTCGCGCGAAAGAAAGGATACATTTTTTATTTGTACAATGAAAAGAATTATATTCGCGTGTCTCCACTATCTAAAAACTTTCAGAGTGAATCTCATTCTAAAAAGTGAAATCCCACTCTTAAAGATCAATTTTTACTCTTCAAAGTGAAATTTCATTCCAACAAATTTAGAGAGTGCATCTCTTATCCGATTTTATTATTGCGATAAAGTGCGAAATTACGCAGCGACAATTTAATCATTGAAATACAAAATGACGAGCAATAAGAGAATATATTGTATATATTTGTTCGTAGAATATATTTAACAGTTATTTTACAATACGTTGAATATTTCGTGGAAAAAATCGCACAGCGACAACGACCTTGGTGATTATTTTTCCGTAGACGCGGCGTGATGAGGTGGTTGCGTACACAAGGTCGCCGCCGTGCTATCATTCGCACAGCGATACTTGAGCAGGCAGGCAGCGACAAGAGAATTGCTCTGCGTTATCGAAACATATTCTATGAACAATTAATGATTAGCACAGTTAACTAGCTTCCTTTCATTCATAAATATAAGACGTAACTACTTGTAAACAGATATTTTATCGTATAACAAAGTATCAAAGAATTTGAACGTATCAATTTTTCCGATTATTTTCAGTTTAAAGTTGCGGGGATTGTGTGCACGAATTGTGTGAGTAGTACAAAGTGTGAATAATAATTTAGATTGAATAATTCATGAAGACTCGCTGTGTACTCTCTAAATCTTTTAAAGTGAAATCTCACTCCAAAAGAACTTGAAAATTGAGCCAGTCTTTGAAAGAGAGTGTGTCCCGGAAAAAGAATGGGAAATTTTCACTCCTTTGGATGTACTATAAAGTGATGCGTACTATCGTTATATTAACAATCCTTTCGCAGAAGTGTGTCGCGCGATCATAATTAATCGCGTTTATTGTGAAAGTGCAACGAATAGTGAGAAAAGGAAGAGACAATGGAAAGAGACAGTGGAGCAATAACGAGTGAGTAATTTAACATGCGGTATTTATTCGGCTTATTTTCGGACGTTTATTTAAATGATTGAAATCAGAATTGGAGAAAATGAATATATGATTTACGAAATTTGACAAGAGAGATTATTCGTCAAATCCGTTTAGCGCGCAAAGTTGAACGTGTGTTCGCGTTACGCGCCGTGAGTAGGGAGTTCATGAGGATCGCGGCGAGAGGAGTCGGAGGAGAGAAAACGGAGAGAAAGAAATGCGCAGGTCTCAAAGAGGGGATTTCGCCGCGTGTACCTTGGCGGGGATCAAATGATAGTCTACGCGTCGGAGAAAGAGAGGCGCTGTTCAACGAATAAAGACATTGCGGGAGAAAGAGAGAGGCATGGAGACGCGCAGACGCGTCTCCACCTTCATCGCTTGGCTCCGACCGTTGAATCGGAGATACCGATAGCGGCCATCGCGGTCACAAATATACCCCGTGTAGGCGGGACCAAAGTTTTCGTCGCATGTGTATGGTTGTATGAGCGAACTCGTGTGCCGATGTAACGCGCAAGTGAGCACATGTATCGATCGCGTTCTACGATCTGCCGTATAGCGAAGTGAGTTCCCATCAATCAGGTCAGGACTAAATTTTATCATTGTTACAAATGAAGAAAATCTATCTTGTGATATAAAAAGGAAGACAAAGATTGTACAATTTTCTTTTATGAATTTGTTTGGGCTAAAAATTAATTATGACACTTAATTTGTTTGTTCTCTTATACAATATATTAATATTACACGCGAAAAATGAAATTCGATTAAGACCTTTACAAGAAGTCCAGTTTCTTTTTAAGTTATAGTTTTATCATAATTTAATTGAATTAATATCTAATAGAAGATTTAATGTGTGAGAAAACAAAATATTCTTTTTCTTTTTAAAACAGAAATCATTTTGGATTAACGGAATTAAGATTGTAATGAATTATGAAGATAATTTTTCATAGAAAAGAGTAGATATTGTTATTATACATTATATTTGATCAGTACTAATATCGAGAAACAATTCACGAATCATTAAATTATACTATCCTTGACGTCGGAGGGAGATAAAATCAGTCAGAGTATTTATGGTAGCAACTCAATTTTTTACATAAATTACAGAATTGTAGTATATTAATTTATGCTTACTAATTATGTTGATAACATCGCATTGGCTTGATACAACTCTATTATTCTTTAAAATTAAAGTTTTGTATAAAGTTTTTAAAAATCAAATCTTCACAGCTCGATACAAATAAAAAAAATCTTACAATTTAAAACAAAATCGATCTTTTAATATTTACTCTTTTGCGGTGTACTTTTTAAATTATTATAAGTGACGTTTAGAGAATTATAATTTATCAATACATAATTATCGGAAAAAGCCATTATTCTTTCTTTTATAATTGATTTATTAAATGTGTAAATGTCACAGATCATTCTTTCGACGAGTATAAATGTATCTTATTAACTTGTATCAGTAACTGTCAAAAGCACAGATACATTATAAAATGATACATAAACCATAATCTTTCATCAGCGTTCGAACGGATCCAACTGTGCAATCTGCTATTTTAGCCCCTTTTGAATTTTTTCTAGCCACTGTATATATGTATATTACATGCAATATTGACTTTTAATTGGTATTAATGACGTTACATTGCTTGACGAAGCATAACAAGTGGCAACACAGTTTATCTCAATTTGCGATAGAAAAACACGTATATCACGCAGGAACTATAACGGCAGTAATAAAATTAGCATAACTTATCTACATCAGAGTCATTTTGATATCACTTGACAATGTGTTGGAGAAAAGTGCACAATCTTACGAATGTGCCAAAATTAATTTATTCTTGTATTTCAACGATAACAGATAAAACATAAATGAATTCCATTATCGACGATGTATTGAAAATATTAAACTATTTGTGCTCATTATTGCAATAATTTACTACACGCTGTTATATAATAGTACTGATAAAACATTCCTTATATACCGACTCATAAACGATACGCAATACATTTAAAGAGTTTAGGGTACGTATTGTGAAATTATTCGGAATA